AGGGAGATATGCCCGTTTGAAGTCGGGCCTAAAATACAGATTTTTAGACCCCGACCGGGTCCATTTAGAACCGACATGCCTCATTTAGACCCGGCTAGGTCTCAATGAAAACTTTTCCAGACTTGCTTTTTAGGCTTGGTTGTGTGTTTTGGGGCCCGGCTGAGTCTCAATGGCGAGAAATAGGACAGTTGGTGGGAATTCGCCAGTTGTTGTTTTTTGAAAATATTTTAAACCATTTTGGCTCAAATTCTAGTTTAATTCATATAAATAGTTTATGCTTTGAATATTATGTTTGTTGAGTTGTAAGTCCTCATGGCTTTGGTTGTTTAGGCCTTAGACACCAAGTCATTTGAGTTGATAGTTCTTTCTTACTTAATCCCATGTAAAGAGTCTCACTTGTGTAGTAAATCAACCTTGCATAATCATTTCTACAACCTTCTTTCTTTCTTGGTTTTTCTTTTCTTTTTGAGAGTTGTTTTAACCGAATGTTGTTTAAACACGAGAAAGATACATACAATGCTACATGGTTTGATCCATTTGGAGGTTCATTATCAGGGCATTACGTCTCTTTAATGTCGAAAACAACTTCTCGTTTGATGCTTCTCTCCGTTTAGCTAATGTAATTCTCATTATTGTACAAATTGATTAAGTAATGGAAAGGTAAATAAAAATGGATTAATAAAATTGGCCTAAAAGCAAGTCAACCAACATAAAAAAGATGTGTAGAATTTCTTGGATTCCGCCAGATGTTATGCCGAGTCCATCGTGTTAAGGGTCGTCATACGTCAATTCATGATGTTTTGATGAACCTTGAAGCGTCTCTGCCTACCTCTTTGATCTAAATTCTTGATAAGAGGGAGGGGTGGTCACCTTTTATGGCATTTATTAATTTTTTTTGTCCAATTGTGTTCAAAATCATCAAGCCATCAACATGTGCTTGTTGATGATTTTGGAACCAAATCTGCTTTTCTCTTGAGGCTTACCATGAGAGAGAAGAGTAGAAGAGACAAACATGGCTCAGAAAACCTTGTCAGCACTGTTTTCACCTCAGAACACAAAAACAGAGCTTTGCATAAAATTAAGGCACGATCGGCCTCATTTAGGCCTGGCCGTGCTTCATTACGGACCGGCCGGCCATTAATGTTTGGTAAGGTAGTGTGTTTTGTAGAAGTAGAGGGTAGTGACTAAAGGTGAAACATGACAGATTCCAAGGAAGGCAGACAGAGTTACTTCTGAAACCACTACGAGTATGCCATCCTTGTGCTTCCATTGAAAAATTTTAAATTAATGATTTCAATATTGTTGTAATTATCATCATCGTAATCAATATTGTTATAGCAATGATTCGTTAGATAGTTAGCTTATTTTATTGTAATAAATTATATAGTTAATTATAGCTTAGCCAATTAGTTATTTATTCATTCACTTGGCTTTGTAGTAATTAGTTTAAATCCGAACATTCAGACATTGATTTCGACCCTCCTGTGCGAGGGCCAACATGTAATAAGTTGTATGTCTTCCAACCCCACGTCTTTCTCATTTTTATTTAACCGCTTGCGATGGTAGCATAGAAGCATCAGTTTATTTAGCATTTTTCATGATTTGCATCCACTTGTCTTGTATGCATGAAAACTCGACTCATCATTCTAGCTTGTATTGTTAGTTAAACACTTCTTTGAATATGTGCTTAAATCACATGTCATATTATTAGCCGAGCCTATTAGTTACATCTTTGCATGCATTGCATTAGTCATTTTGCATCCGTAGGATCATGTATTTTTTCTAACTTTGTTGTTTCTTTTGGTTTGTCTTGGAGTACGAGATGAGCACTTATTACTTTAGCATACTGCATGCGTGTGATTGTTGTCATATCTAGCATGAATACCATGAGACTAAGTGCTTAAATGATATACCTGTTTGAATGCCGGTGGATGGAGGCTAATTGCCAAAATTGGGATAAGTTGATTAGTGTACATACAAACTCACATTTTCAAGTGACGCGTATCAAAAACAATTTTCAAACATGCATGAAATCAAGTGTTCCAATTTTTACAAATTAGTCTATACTTGTGTGCATCACATAGTAATGTTAGGCTAATAATCGGAATAAGAGCATATAATGTAAATAAAAATCACATCATAATTAGTAGAGGCTAATCTTTGATCGGGCGAGTAGGGTGCTTAATTCATGACCTTCCCCTCTCGTACCTAAGTTTTCGAGCCGAGACAACTTTGGTAATGACGGACAAGTGGCCTTTGGCACGAGTCTCGGGTTTCCTAAATTTCTCAAAAATATTTAGGTGGCGACTCTGTAATCTGGCAAAGCACTCCATTTTTGGCATTTGATTCAAACATCGATTTTTCAAAAAGAATTACCGGATTTAAACTCTCTTGAGTTTTCACTGTTTCACATTGCACTTGTGAAATCAGATTCAGAACCACGGAAGTTCGAATTGTAGGGCTAATCATATCCGAAAGGAGCATGAAAAGCGAGCTACAATAGGTCAACTTAATTCAATGGAGTCCATCCCCTTTCTTCTCCCAACACATGGAGTACATCCCATTTCTCCTCCCAAACATTATAAATATGCAATATACACTACAACAAAAAACACATTTTATAGCATTCGAGGAATGCTATCAAAAGTAAGCAATAGCATTCGTTATAATGCTATGTTTGCCCATGTTATTAAAAGTGTATCATTTTTAATAACATTTATTGAATGTTATCGTTGAACGCTATCGTAAATATATTATAACAATTTTTGAATGCTATGAAATAGTTAAAAGTTACTAAAAATACCAAAGGATAACATTTTGTTAATGCTATAAAATTGTTTTTATAGCAATCTAGTAATGTTACAATTTACCATATCATAACTAACTAAGAATGTTATAATAAAGCATGATAACATTTTTTAAATGCTACAAATACCTCATTATGATAGCAATTTTAAATGCTATCATATAGTATTTATAAATGAGCCATGGGAGTCGCACCCCCAGTGACGTGGTAGCACGGGGTTGGTGGAAAACATAAAAATAAATAAAAATAAATAAAAATAAATAAATAACTATTTTTTTTTGGACCAATGAGAGGCGACCCCCAGTACCCCCACTGGGGGTCCGAAGCTTTTTCCATTTATAAATATAATAAAAATCCATTCCAACACCAATATTGGAAACCTAAATTCTGTAAATGCAACAAACACATTTTCATCTATCACATACAAAACAATATTATCATTGAAAAATAACTCATCACCGCAAATTTCAAGAAATAATAAAATCGTCATAACATTGTCTTAATAAAGTACCAAAACACAATCTCTCACTATGTTAAAAAAAATAAAAATAAAAACAAAAACTTAAAGTCATAATGTCGGTATGTACAAGCCAATAACACATTCAAATTCCTTTTTCCGCACCCACGAACTTCCAAGCTGACTTCTATTGGTTCCATCTTCTTTCCAAACCTAATAACTGTAAAACAATAATCAACACGTCACAATAAGTATAATCAGTTTAAAAATAGAGTGTATATCATTAAAAAGGAAAAATAAAAATAAAATTATATCAATAAACAATCTCTTTCCACTCAATCTTCACCATTGGTATTGCCTTATTTCTCAATCGTCTCACTTGTCTATCGATGATGCGTATCGGCTCTTCTTCATAGCTTAGGCCTTCATCAACCACAATCCCGAAATGATCGATCACGTGTAGTGAATCCCGTATATACTTCCTCAACATCGAGATATGAAACACATCATGAACTTGAATTAATCTCGGTGGTAAATCTAGTCTGTAGACAACCGGGTTAACTTTCTCAAGAATTTCAAATGGTCCAATGTAACGGGGTCCCAATTTACCCTTCTTCCCAAATCTTGAAACTCCTTTCATCGGCGAGGTTTTCAGGAACACAAGATCCCCTACATCGAATTCTAACTCCTTCCTTCTCTGGTCGGCGTAACTCTTCTGTCAGCTCTGAGCGGTTCTGATTCTCCGTTGGATAAGCTTAATCTTTTCGGTTGTTCTTTGAACAAAATCTGGCTCGATCAAAGCTTTATCTCCTACTTCGGTCCAACATATCGGCAAATATGTGTCCGAGTGTTTAAACCCGAATGCATGAGAAATGGCAAATAAACACCATATTTACATATCAGCCATCATGCAAGAGGGTCCGAATAAGTGTCCGAGTGTTTAAGCCCTAATGCATGAGAAATGGCAAGTAAACACCATAATCACATATCTGCCATCACGAAAGAGGGTCTGAATAAGTGTCCGAGTGTTTAAACCCTAATGCATGAGAAATGGCAAATAAACACTATAAATAATCTGATCCAACACATGAAACAAGTCAAAAGAATTGGATCATGGCATCTATTAAGAGGTATATATATTGTCTTATGCCACACTTCGCTTGTAATAAGCCACATAAATTCACTGATGTCAAAACTTTCAAATGCCAAAATGGTCAATAAACTCACTGATGTCAAAACTTTTAAATGTCAATACAAAAGTGAATCAAAACAATAGAATATATAATACAATGTTTTGTGGAGTGTATGATACACAACATAGACATCCTTGTCCAACTATTAGAGATCAGCTACCCATCCTTCCGTCATATTTGACATTTTTGAGATGCCAAAGTGAAACTTTTTACGTGCCAAGTGCAGCAAAAGCATCATAGCACTCGAACAAATAATCGAGGTCTGAACAGCTGTCACTTATTTTCGAGATACACTCCAGCACCAGCAGATCTACACCACTGGCAAAAAGGTTATTACCCAGTTCAGGTTGACTTGGTAGTAGACAGCTTATCTATTCATATATTATCCTTTTATTTTACTTATCCATAATCCATTTATAAAAGATATGTCAATCAAATAACTGTACCAATTATTTATAATGAAGCTCTAAAGACATTCTTGACTTTTAGAATCACCCCTATCCTGCTCTCTCGCTCTCACTCTCCACTCATATCCTATCCATAAATAATGTTATTACAACTCAGATTAGAAATAGAATGCAATCTCTACCTATACTGAGGTGCAGAAGCTTGATTTGACCGGTGAGTTCTTCCAAATTGTTGAATTGCACGGTCAGCACTCCACGGTAGTTCTAGTGTTAAATGAACTCTTCTTTTCTGCAAGAAAGAAATGAAAAGAAAAAAGAACAAAAAAAAGAGCCAAAGGGCACATCATAAGTAAAAGAGCCAACTCAAAAGTAGTTCATGAACCATAGCATATGATGCGAAGAGTTCACTGTTAATTAGGAATTCAGTTCTTAATGTGCGATCATATGCAGAGAACTAAATTACTGTAGACACTTATGAACCATGCCATGAAGATGTAAAAAATATCACAAAGCTAAATCTACCTGATTTACTGCCCTTCTGTCTGCCTGCAAAGAAACACCAGCTGATCCAGCTTCAGAAATGATTGCAACCAGCTTCTTACCATCCATGAAGAGCTGCTTCTCATGCATATTGACCATTTCCATGGGTACATCCTTTCTAAAGCAACCATTGAAGGTGATTCAGCCGCCACAAGATAGAATTAAATATTGAATGAAAGCATGTGAAAACTCACGTGCTGCGTGACTGATATGTGACACCTTTCACATCAGAGGTCCGAACAAGCATGCCTCGCCTCCCAGTGATTTCTGCAACTTTATCAGGTCCTCCAAGCTGCACAAACATTGGAAGTCATTAAGAGGAAAAAACTAAGATGCATGCCAAATATATATATATATATAAAAATTACTTATATTAATGTGTGATTTTGGTACATATGAAAAAATAAAAATAAAATATTTATAAGATGTTCAGTCCCTTCCTTGTTTTTTATCTTCTTATATATTATAAGAATGTAGTATGAAACATGAAAGGCCTTCAAACCCTTAATACTAACTCTTCACCTTCTTTCCTACTGGTATTCTCTCAAGCCCCCTTTACTAATTTTTCTAATTTCTATTTTTTTAAATAAATGTAAAAAAAAAATTGATATACAAATAGATAAAGTTAACAAATTTGATCTATCTCGCTTCTGTTAAAATCTTTCGTAATTAACAAATTTGATCCTATATGTTCAGTTAAAATCTTTATTTTATCTCTCAATATCTAATTTTAAATTTTATTTTTTTTGAAGTCTATCTAAACAAATCTAATTTAAAATTTTGATTTTTTTTATTTGAATTTTTATTTTTTTACAAGAGCTTCAAGCATTAAATAGAAATTTTCAATTTTAAAATTTTTAAAAATAAAAAATATATTTGGCATAAAGTGATAAAAAAATTACAAACCCACAAATATTTATAACCATATATATAAATTAAAAATATATATAAACCCATAACAAATATAGATAGATAGATTTATGGCATTCAGTTTATTAGTAATTCTTTTTAGCATATATATGTTTTAGACATTAGGGTTATTGAGAAACATCTTATTTATTGTTAGTATTATTTCATTAGTTAGAAATCAAGTTTATTATTTCAAGAAAAATAGATCAATTGAATTATAATAACATTTTGTGCATCTCTGCTTTTTAAATTATTGCCTTTACTTATGAAATTTGAGATGATGATCTTTATTCATTATGATTATAATTTTGTGACAAAATTTAGAACTTGATGCATTATTAAAAAATTTATATACTATAAATCAGTCTCGTGCATAGCACGGGTTTACCTCTAGTATGCAATATGTGAATGTAGAAGTCAGATACAGTGTGTGAATGTGGTGTGTGAATACAGTGTATCAGTATAGTTTGGAACAGACTATAGTTAAAATGCCAATGTATCAGTGGAAAGATGATAGCATGAAGTGCAAACTGAAGAAATTACCGTGATGCCGTAGAGACCGAGCAGCATCTCCCTCCTCTGTACCATATCTATCAAGGAGGCTATCAGCTCAAGAGCCCTCCCCGTGTACTCTATCGGTGCCTGCAAATGCATTTAGATGACTAGTGTTTGCAATAAACATATCTGAAATGAAATGCAGGTTGCAAAGCGCGAAATGTGGTCCATACCTGAGTCGGGCCTTGAACTCTGACTAACTCGTACCCAATTGCGGCAGGCTCAATCACGACCTGGTAGGCATCCCCAGTATGTCACCAGCATGTCAGTGTAGTAGGAAGCTCTGGCCAACCAATCCTCTGCCTCGCCTAGGAAGCACAGGCCCTAGTCGCCCTAGTCAGTCTAGGCGCCTCCTCGCCTCCACGAGCATCGGTCAGAGGTGGCATAAGATGTGTCTGAATGAAAGCCGTATAGTCGCCCTCTACTCTAAAGTAGTCAGCATCCAAGCCCCACATAAACTGAGTGACGTCATCAATAGATAGGCTGTCTGGTGATCGCATGGACTCTGGCAGAACCATCGGAATGATCGGGTCAGCTAGGCCCACAGTTTGGCGCACGAACCGCTCGCTCAGAAACCAGGCCCGGTAGACGGGGCCCTCAAGCAAAATACAAAAACGGGAAGTGGCCCAGGCCCCTACATATTGGCCCCGAATCCCGGCTGGCATCATGGCCCAAGGCTGCCACATGATCTGTAAATGGAGAGTGAACAGATTGTTAGTTACTATTAGTTGTTAAAATGTGAATCAGAACAGTTGTAAAGCAAAAATGACTATGTTTCGGGTTACTTCATGAGCAGCCACTGTGTCGAAGTACTGGCGAAAGAACGTGAAGGTATCGCGGGTCCTGCACTCAAGCCGGCCGTCATACCTCTTTGAGTAAGGGACTGCTAATGGGAGCTCCTCAATAGGCTCTGGGGCCAGAGTCGAAAAATAAGCATAAACCCACAGCTGTGGAGAAAATACAATGATATGTGATCAACAATGTATGAATAGATACAGAAAGTGTAAAGCAGAAAGCACAATATATGAACAGATGCCGAAAGTAAAAAGTAGAAAACACAGATGTAAAGTAGAAAATGTAAGGTGCAAAGAGAGAACTAAGATGCATACCTTCCAGGCTCACCAATAGCCGCCGATGAAGTCTTCGCTCAGACGGGAGGTCGAGCTCATGTATCCATATAGGGTGGCAAGACCGGCTCCGCCCCAATTATAAAAGCACACCCGGGAAAGGGTCACTAGAGCGCTGAGCAGATATAGGCCTACGGTGTTCCACTTGTTCGAAAATAGGGTGGTACAGAAAATGAACATCAGAAAGCCTCTAGCATACTGCTCCATCTCCTCCATAGTCTCGGGCTCGCTCCCTTTGAACTGCTCCGTGAACCAAATATATCTAACCATGCCCGTCTGGTATATGGGTGGATGCGCTCCTAGCAGCTCAAACCAAGCCGCCTCCCATTCACCCATGTCTGTATCAAACGGGATTGGATCACCCCATATGTCTAAGCTGGTGATCATGGTGAAGTCATAGGGAGTCATCGTCATCTCCCCTACAGTGGAAAAGTGGAAGGAGTTGGTGGTGTCCCACCACCTCTCCACAAGTGCACCCAGAAGAGGACGGCTCGTGATAACCCGCATCAAGCCGTAGCAGAATAGCCCAAAGCCTGTCTCATCAATAATGTCACGAACTCCAGCGGGGAGCTCGTCGTACCAATCTCATGCGGTCGTAGCTCCGTACCCTCGGAAGGCAAGAGACTCGCCCTGTGGCCAAAGACAGATGCATCATATAATGCAGTAATAAAAGTGCGGTCTGAAAATACAGTACAAGAAATGCAAGATAGGCAAGAATGTATGAAAACAGAGCTCATACCTCAACGGCAGTGGATGAAAGGTGGAAGGCCGACTCCCTCAGTAATAGGTCCTCCGGTACACCGCGAGCGAAGTCGGTGAAGCGTCTAATGCCACCAGCTGGTAGGATGTGTGTCTGGAGATGGTACCTCTTCGAATCAAATGGTCGTACCCTCAATGGGAGCGGCTCTGCCACAACCTTAGGCTCAAACTCTACCTCAAGGTCAGCCTCAATACCTTCAGCTTCCTCAGCAACGACCGGCTCATCCTCCTCGGGAATAGATGGGAATACGGGAGGAACCTCTACAGGAGCCTCGTCGCATGGTATACCATCTGCCATCTGAAGAATAGTAAAAGGTGGCCTAGATCCTCAGTTTGGTGAAATATTTTTTAGATTCTCAATTTGATACAGGTTTGATGAAACTATATTAGAGTACAAAAAAAGAGATTTTTTCACTAAATTTAAATTTGGTGATGGATTTGGTGTAGCATTGGAGATGACCTTATATGACAAAAAATGTAAAAGATGGGATCCAGTTATGCGTATTAGTTGTTTGTTAATTTAAAGATTGAGTGTGTGCTTTAATAGTATAATTAAAGTGTTTGTTAAATATATAAAATAATATATTGTGGTTTGACTAAAAATATGCAATCTCATTTATTCTCTAATCTCTCTTTTCTTTTTTTTCTTTTTTTTTTCTTCTTCTTTTTTTTTTTTTTCTTAGAAAAAGAAATCAATAGTTCAAATTCATTTTACGATTCCACACTTCATTAATTTAATTTTCACCACACAAATACATTCAAAAAAAAATTATGAGTTAATAAACGTGCCTTCATAACATTTTTACTTTATTTATCTTATTTTTACCATTTGCAAAGAGGTTGCAGTGGTTGTATCGTTCCATCCCCTGTTATATGTCTCTCTCTCTTTCTCTCCCTCTCCACTTTGTTAAGGTGATCTGGGTAGTTAACAAACGTTGTAGCTAAAAGCTAAGAACATTTCCAATGGTTGTTGTTATTATACTATTACTATTGTTATAATTTGACAATCAATAGTGTTATTTTGCCAAATTATAGCAATGGTGCTCCAATAGTCACTTGCTATTTTGGCAATTCTCAACCAATTTTCCTTCCAAGCTTGTAAGTGTTGTTTGGATGTAGGTTTTTTGTAATTTTATTTTTGTTTATTTTTTATCTTTTATGACCTTTTTTTAACTATTTGTAAAAAAATATATATATATTTATATTATTCCCGATTAGACATATATAAAAAATGAAAAAAAATAGAAAAAAAATTAAATATAATTCAATTTGAAAAATTACTTGGTTTTCTACTGTTTCAATTCTATTTTTTCAACTGAATTTGAAGCCACAAATATGTTCATATTTGCTGATGTGGCATATTTGACAATTGCTATTTTACTTGTCAAATTTGATAATAGATATGGCATATGCCATCTTTGACAAGTAAAAAATAACAAGCCATTGAAGATCTACTTTTTTATCACTATTGCTAAATTATAACTTTGACAAGTATTTTAAAAGCTCCATTGAAGATGCTCTAATATGATACACCACTTAACTAGCCCTTCGCTAACCCATTGAAAGCAATTTTGTCCAAAATCTTCATTAATTGACTTTTCCAATTAATGTCTAACACTAATTTCTTATTTAACTCCACCACTACAAATATGGTGAATTATGGGTAGATATGAGTTGAGTCTATACTAAAGAGAGGCATCGGTAGTGAGTTGATATAATGGTTGTCATTGTCATTATAGCAAGTCCACTAAAACAAAAACCTTCCTCAATGGGGTTAATTATCACGTATTTCAGATATTTCATGTTGGTGGTATACCTAATTAATAGCAAGGGTCAAAAGCATTATATGGCCATACAAAGGAGAAAATGATAGAGAAATAAGAGGATACCATTGAATGGGCATATGGTGGAAATAGGAAGAAAATTATATGGCCAACTCAACTACCTCCCATTT